AATCTCTTGACATGTAGAATAATGAGCTAGAACCAACAAATTATAGTTTGATAGGAATGAATATAATCATAAACATGGGTTACAAATTCTACTCTATTAGCACAAAATTGTTGGTCTGATTGCAGTTCTTGTGAAAAAGATCTACCTGCCAACTTAGAGTGAATCAACCGTGTAATGAGCTGTCCCAAAGCTAGTACAAGCATAGACAGCAATGATATACACTTCAGAACAAGGAAGACAATGGTTTCTCCGTTTTCAGTATTGGTTAGACAACATGTGGATTATAGCCTTGAACATATGTTAGGAAGTTGTCCAGGAATATGAGTTCTGAAATTTAATCATGAGAATAATTGAATGGGCCAATGTATCAACCTTGGAAAAGTCAAATCTAAATGATCTTTACTTCTTCCCCGCTTGGAGTCACGCTAATCTTTGGGCTAGCCAGTGCCATCATTCTCACCAGTTCTCCGTGTCGCTAGGCTCACAGAATGCCAACAAGTGCCAGTCACTATGAGAACTAGGCCAAAAGGAAATGAGAAGGAGAAGCGACAGGCCTATGTGTGAAAATTCCATGGAACACAAGGCTCAGAAAAATGGCTTGGCAGCCACTTTAGCACTGTGGTGAGCGAATGTGGCATATGAGTGACATAGTCTTAAACCACCAAAGGAAGTTAGTTACTCACGGCACATGTCTTACTGACGGGAGTTCATAAAGAGTGTTTCCCATTTACCTTTATTATAATTTTGCTCACGTCAAATGTTTTCTTAGCTAAAAAACATAAAATGCCCTCTCATTAAATGTAGTTATCATTTACTTAAGGTGAAGTCTCTTTATGCCAAGGCTATTTTTTTATATTTTTAGAAATTAGGAAAACACAGAGAAAATAGTATTAGAATACATAATATTGGGTTGTCGGAAAAGTCATGATGCATTTTTGCAAGGAAAAACAGAAAAAATATGTCATGGCTTTTCCGACAACCCAATAGATGATTCGCTTCAATTCCAACTTTTCAGTCATTAAATATTTCAACTAAAAATCTCCAAGCCAAGGGCTGGCCGAGTGGCTCAGTTGGTTAAGAGCTCGCTCAAAAGTTTGAGCTCTGAGCAACAGCGGTTTGATGCCCAGCCCGAGCTGAGCTACCGCTGAGCTGCCAACAGGTGGCAGGATGGCTCAGCTAAAAAAAAAAAAATCTCCAAGCCTAAGTTTTTGACATGTCTATTAAAAATATTTTGGAAGCCTTTAGAGATGCTGGTCCATGGATTTACTTAAGTTGGATATTCTACCCATCTGGCAGGTACGTCCCTGCTAAGCAGTTTCATCTGAATTCACTAACACCAGGTTTTCATCCTTTCTGTTCTGGAATATCTTACGTGTGGCCCACCTACCACCTGAGTACCTGGTGTTTAACTCGAAGGAAAAAAGCACTGGGTACTATTTCCTGCCTAATGCCTCTTCACTTTTAGTAATGCACTGCTTGCATGAGATCTGTGAGTTTCCAAGTTACTGCGTACGTGTGTGTGTGCACGTGCATATATGTGTGTATGCATATGTATGTATGTGTGTGTGTGTGTG